ATAACGTTGAAGGTGCATGAATGGTTCAGTGATAAATCTAAGTTGTTTATACTCGTTGTATAACGACATCTAATTTATTTCCTGCTAGGTGAAGGCTGTTCACGAGGTGAACTGTATGAGATGCTTGTTCCTGGCTTGTTTAAACAAAAGTGGGATCCTTCAACAAGTTGTGTCAATCTTCATTCTTACTACATAAGGTTTGTGCCTCATCCCGCAGATAGGATCTACAGAAAGTTTGGTTTTTTCATGAAGTCACCTCTTCCCGTTGAGGCTGAGACTATGGGTTTTGATCTTCACCTTGCTCATCAAAGATCTGTAAGTGTAAAGATTTTTCCAGCAGGAGTCACCACATTTGACAACGATGAGGTATTGAGCTTTTTATTAGATTGAAATGAAACTAGAATGAACTTATCTTATTTGATTATGTCTATGCAGATAAGGTTAGCGGAGCTTTTTCAGGAGGTTGCCCTAAAAGTTCTTTTTGAACGGCAGGAGCTCATTCCGGAATTTGTTCCCTTAGAACTGCAATACTCTTCTAGAACATGCAAATCTACCTTCTACCTTCTTCTTCCAATCAGTCTGCAGGATGCAGAAAGTCATATATCTGTAGATTGGGTGACTATCAATAGATGCTTGTCATCACCAATCTTTAAGACTCCATCTGTGTTAGTGGAAAATATAGTTCCTCCTACGGGATCTCATTTGAAGCTCGCAAATGGCTGCTGGAATATTGATGATGTGAAGAACAGCTTGGTTTTTACTACACACAATAAACAATTTTACTTTGTTGCTGATATCTGCCATGGAAGAAATGGTTTCAGTCCTGTTAAGGAATCAAGCACCAGAAGCCATGTGGAGAGCACATATAAATTGTAAGCACTAAACTTCTATTATTCAGATTGTTCGATGGGGACATGTATTCTGCTTTTTTTCTTTCACGTTTCTCTTTAGCTTTTGTTTGTTATAATGTTATTTGTCCTTTTCTACAGAGCAGTATGACAATCCATATACAATTGGTTGGAACTTTTAGCCTTATGATTATATGATTATCTGAGTTTACGAACCTTCTCATTTTCATGCGTAAATTAGGTATGGCGTGGAACTCAAGCATCCTCTACAGCCACTCTTGCGTGTGAAACCAGTTTGTCATGTTAGGAACCTGCTTCACAACCGAATGCAGAAGAATTTGGGTAGATTTTCTTAACTGATTTTTGCATATCACAATTTTCTTGCGCACGTACATACACACATAACATTCTCACATTGTCAGGAACAGAACCACAAGAACTTGCGGAATACTTCATAGAGATTCCTGCTGAGCTTTCACAGTTAAAGATAAAAGGATTTTCGAAAGACCTCGGAAGCTCGTTATCATTGCTACCGTCAATCATGCATCGTATCGAGAATTTACTCGTGGCTATTGAACTGAAACATGTGCTGTCCGCTTCGATCCCTGAGATAGCTGAAGTTTCTGGTCACAGAGTAATCTCATTTCACTTGATAAACCATTTGCTTGATTTTCATAAAACTTGTTAATGTTTGATACTTTACTGACCAAGTGAGTTGGTATAGGTACTCGAGGCGCTCACAACAGAGAAATGTCATGAGCGCTTATCTCTTGAAAGGCTTGAGGTGCTTGGTGATGCATTCCTCAAATTTGCCGTTAGCCGACACCTTTTTCTACACCATGATAGGTTTGATGAAGGAGAGTTGACTCGGAGACGCTCTAACATTGTTAACAATTCCAACTTGTGTAGGCTTGCAATCAAGAGGAATTTGCAGGTTCACAGAATTTTTATAAATGCTTTGATTGCTGGTACATTTTAAATCTTGTTTGAGCTGATTGCTACGAACCATGAAAATACTGATCATGTTCGTAAAGCGCCGTCAGAACCCTTGCCTCCATACATTTGATATATTCGCAGTTACATATTTCAAAAAATAATTCTTATAGATAGAGGCAAACTAAAAGGTACTGATTTAGTAATCTAGTTATTTTGGATATTATTCACCTTGTACTTTTTTCCAGGTCTACATCCGGGATCAAGCATTTGATCCTACTCAGTTCTTTGCATTTGGCCATCCATGCAGAGTAACCTGTGACGAGGTAATGGTAAAAGAGGTCCATTCCTTGAATAAGGGTCCTGGGCTTTCGGAGTCAAATACTGGTGAAATCAGATGCAGCAAAGGCCATCATTTTTTGTACAAGAAAACAATTGCTGATGTGGTTGAGGCTCTTGTGGGAGCTTTCTTAGTTGACAGTGGCTTCAAAGGTGCCGTGAAATTTCTTAGGTGGATTGGTATAAATGTTGATTTTGTATCCTCGCAAGTACAAGATGCTTGTGTTGCAAGCAGGCGCTACATGCCACTCACTACTCGCAATAATTTGGAAGCCCTTGAAAACCAGCTTAACTATACGTTCCTCCACAAAGGTCTACTTGTACAAGCCTTTATTCATCCATCTTACAACAAGCATGGAGGAGGCTGCTACCAGGTAATTTTTTATTTCCTTATTTTTCATTTCTCTCTATAAGATCCATTTATGTAACCAAATTCTCTAATTGGGCGTCTGCAGAGATTGGAGTTTCTTGGGGATGCTGTTCTGGACTACTTGATGACGTCCTATTTTTTCACAGTTTTCCCGACACTGAAACCTGGCCAATTGACCGATCTAAGATCGCTTTCCGTAAATAATAAGGCGCTAGCAAATGTTGCTGTCAATTTTTCGCTAAAGAGATTTCTATTTTGCGAGTCCATTTATCTCCATGAAGCTATAAATGATTATACCAATTTCCTGGCAGCGTCAACATCGGCAAGTGGACCATCTGAAGGTCCAAGATGCCCAAAGGTGTGTTTCGAACTTCCTTTCACACGCAGACGACATTTTAACGCTTTTATTTGGTACTTAAGTATGTTTATGGTGGATTTGTTTAATACGTTATACGCTACAGTAATTTTCAGAGATTGTTTTGTGATTATGCTAAAAGAATTGCGTGATAGTCTATGGAGATATGTACATTTTATTTACTTTCCATCATTACCAAATATGCCAATTTTTGAGCCAGGTAAGGAAACTATGATGAGTTTCCCTAATAATATCTGACTTACATTTTGAGAATCTCAAACTATCTCCGTTAGCTTTCTTCCTTAATTTTTTTCCTTCATGAGATGGTGAATTGAAGAGACCTATGCCCATCTCATTATTTAAGTTTTTCCGTCAGTTAATATCTTAATTATATAAAAACATACATGGCTATAGTTGTGAAAGAACTAATATAGTTATTATAATTTTATGCAGGTTCTTGGTGACTTGGTAGAATCCTGTTTGGGGGCTTTTTTCCTTGATTGTGGGTTCAACTTAAATCGTGTCTGGACTATGGTGCTATCATCATTTCTAGATCCAGTCAAAAACTTGTCTAACCTGCAGATTAGTCCTGTAAAGGAACTGATTGAACTTTGCCAGTTTTACAAGTGGGATCGGGAAATATTAGTGACGAAGAAGGTTGGTGCTTTTTCTGTTGAATTAAAAATGACCAAGAAAGGTTGTTGCCTTACAGCTTCTGCAACTGGTCGGAACAAAAGAGATAGCACAATAAAGGCTGCACAGCTGATGATTACATATCTGAAGGTAATTTTTCTTAAGAATCAAAGAAACTGCTGTGCAACGAGTTTCTTGAGTTGATGTGATGTATATATATCTTGAGCTCGTAGTGTTCTTTATGTAACTCGTAATTTTAAGAACTTCTTTGTGTAATTCATCTGCAGGCACATGAGCACATAACAACATCCAATCCATTGGAAGATGTTCTGAAGAATAGCATCCGAAATGAAGCTAAATTAATTGGCTACAATGAAGAGCCTATAAATGTTGTGGATCTTGATGGGCTGGACGTTGAAAACCTAAAACTCCAAGAAATTTTTGGCGAGAATAGTGAAATAAGCAGCTCATACATCATCAGGCGAGGTATCCCTCAGGAACCATCTAAAACAGAAAACAGACTTCCTCAACAGACCATCAGGGAAGCAGGTATGTGGATTGATTCTTGTGTATTTATTAGGAGACAGTAATTTTGGCGCAGTATATATCCTGAATTACTGATTCTTGTACTAAAACTCAACAGGTGGACCAATCACCAAAACCGCAAAATCCCTCTTGCTTGAAACATGTGCTGCTAACTGTTGGAAGCCACCTAAATTCGAATGTTGTGAGGAGGAAGGACCAGGCCACCTGAAATCGTGAGTAAATCGGTCAAACTACTAATTTGATTAGAAAAAATATGTCCGTCATTGGGTTTCATGTCATTGATTGTGTGTATGTGTGTGTTACAGATTTGCCTACAAGGTAATCCTGGAAGTTGAAGATGCCCCTAATATGACACTGGAGTGTTATGGTGATGCTAGACCAACAAAGAAAGGTGCAGCAGAGCACGCTGCCCAAGCTGCTATATGGTGCCTCAAGCATTCTGGATTCCTTTGCTGATGATCTCGAGTGGCTATAGTTTGGTTAGAAAGAGAGGTTAGCGTAGGCATATATAATTGTCTTAGAACTAAATATTAGCATATATGATAAAACACATACAATATCCGAAAGAGAGAAAAATATGTATGAAGGAGATTACAGGTTCTAAACCTAGACCAACCAATACCATTGGTCTTGGAGCCAAGAGCTTCGAGGCTAAGGTTTTCTTTGACCCCTCTTCGGAATATAAAGTATATATTTCTGGGATGCTTGACACCGGGATAGGTGCCCAAAAAATTGTTTACTCATCTCATCCCTCATGCGTCAAATTGTATCTAATGTGATCTTAACTCTACCATTAATGAACTAACAGGTAACTGGTCTTACGTAGTAAAAAAGAACAAGCAATTGGGACAAAAAAACGCAAATGAGAATGTTGAGAAGCGGTGAAAACTTAGAATGGTTTCAGAAGGAGAAAGGGGAAACGTGTTTATCAACAAAGAAAGAGCGACATTTTTAGGCAATAATTTGCTAGCAAGAGTAAAATTGTGAAGAAGAATCAAAGGAAATTTAATTGATCTATACAAGAGACTAGAGAGAGAGAATGAATGAGCAACTTCTCCTGGACCAGATGAGAGACATATATCTCCTGGCTCAGAAGAGAAACTTTATCACCCAACTCTAATCACAAGAAAGAGAATTTTTTTAGTGCGAAATAGACGTAGAATAATAAAAGTACAACTAAAATATGGAGCAAGCTCTCATGTTTAACCTCAAAATGAGAGTCTCCAAGAGCATCCAACACCATCTGTCTGTCATCACTCCTTCTCCCTCTCACCGCCTTTGTCTCTGCCTCCACTCTTTGCTGTACTTTCAGTTTCGTCTTCTCCATCTCCATGATAGCCATTGTTGCTGTTTCTTCAGCCAATTGAAGTCTTAACTCTGCTTTCTTTTTCCACATCTCAAGCTCTGTTGCTCTCTCTTTTTCCATAAGAGCTTCTTTGCAGGCGCTGTGGTACATGTTCATTGTTTCCTTCAGCTCTTTCTTCAGCCTTCTCATCTCAGACTCGGCATCATCGACTGGCGATAGTGGGGAAACTAACGCACCTTTATTTTCATCAGAAGGACTATTAAGATAGACCGAACAGTTTGATTTCTCATCATACAGACCAGAAAATCTAGGAATTTCCAACATGTATGGAGTTGCAAGTTTCTTATAGAAAGAGAGACCCGAACTGTCTGTACTGATCCTGCTATAGTTCACACTAGAATCTCGATCAAGCGATGAAAACTCCTCAAAGAAAACGTCATCTTCTCTTGACAATGACCTGTGAGAGCCAATCAATTCAAGAATTAATGTAATCTCTGGGCATAAACAGACATGATGTAACAGTTTAAAAATAGATTACATCTCCGAAGGAGCCTCATCGGTGTTGCTGCACGGTGACAATGGTGCAGTCCCTGAAGAAGGAGATGGCAAGGCCTGAGGTAAAGGCCGAGTGGCTGACCGTACACTTGATAGTCTTCCCTTTGATATGACTAATACAGTGCAGAAGTCTGGAGCCCATCTCATCACATTACTTGGAATGTCATCAGCCTTGAACAGCCTTCAAATCAAAACCATTTCAGAGAATCTCAGTAAAAGATTTTTGGGTATTGATTTCAGAGAGAGATGTAGCAATACTAGTTTCTGACCTGGTAATGCTCTTTTTCAATGAGGCACCTAGCAAGAATGTGGAAATACAATTCTGGCTAATATATTCGATCAATGCTTTCGCCACATCCTGATCTTCCAGCAAAACAACTTCGCTTTGAATCTAAATAGAGACATTAATCAGAGACGCGACAAGACAGGTAAAAAAAAAAGAAAAAAAGCAAATAAAACAGACCTCATACTTACATTTCTTCGCATACAAAGACAGCGCAATGGAAGAAAGTTAGTACTTCGTTTACCATTGTTTTGTCTTTCAGATGACTCATCATCTGTGTGAGACCCATTCGCATTCAGAGCAGATCTTTGGATGACATGAACGAGTTTAACTGTCCCGTCTCGGGGTATATAACGGTCCACAGCCCATTTAAGTGCTTGGCAGCTCGTTTTATCGCTGTCAATTGCAATAGCTATAGGCCCTTCCCTTGCTTCATTTCTCTCAGAATTTTCTCTCACATTCGAGATCATTGCCACTCAAGAGAATTTTATATGGACAAAGTATATTGTACTAATTAAAGACCTCACTCGACACCTAAATTTTTATCAAATGAACATGTCAGTGGGTGGTTTATGGAGAAAAAAATGAAACATCTATTTACCAGGAACTCAAAGGAATCTGTATTGAGCCAAAACTAGGTTTACAAAGACTTAGAAAAGAGGCTTAGAGAAATAAATTAATAAATAACCAAAGCAATTCCACTTTAGGAGAAGAACGGAACCTAGCTAAAAATAGAACTGTTATCAACCAGAGTTAACGCAGGGACAAAACTAACTCCACGCCTCCCAAAAACTGTTATTGAAACATAAATCCACCAGGCACCAGCAGTATGTTTCAAACAAGATCATGAAAACTAGAAACAGTCAAAATTTCCCTGCCCGTGTTGAAAACAGATTTGCTGGAACTGATGATGATATGAAGATATTAAATCATATTACTTACTATATATGCAAATTTGGTTGGGATGTGAATTTTCTCACCTTAAACTGTAAAAAAGATTTCTTTTTTTTTTTGCATTGCCAAGAACTAAGACGTGATCAACCATATTCCAGAATGGATCAGTTAGGACAACAGAAAGATCTTTTCATCTATCGCTGCGAAAATTTTCACCTTAAAATCAAACTATAAAACCAAACTCAACAGCACAGGTTCTTCTCCCTTCTTCCTTGATCCTGATTCTGGATTTCTCAATCTTAAGGCAGCCATAAATAAGCAAACTCAATCTGTCCAAAGTCACAAAAGTATCATATATGACAATGCCAAGCACATTTATCTCTATGCTCGAGAACAATAAATTGAGCCGTAAAGAGCTGGCCGAGTTTCCCCATGGATAAACACAGAGCAAACCCATCTTCAGCAAAGCAGCAAGTTCTATCCTATAATGTCATATGGAAAGAAGCTCATACATCATGTATTCAAGGATAAAGCCTACACCTTTTCTTCTTTATCCAAGCGAAATCTCCTATCAGCTTCCACTTATTGTGCAACCACATTCACAAAATTGGATTTTTTAACCAATGAATTGAATATCCTCTAGCTTTTGGCCTATAGCCCCAAAGCACAAACCTGGAGAGACATACACCATCCAATGTGAGATACGGTAACGGTTGGCGAATCCACGGAAAATGGTGAATTAAAGGAGCAACAAGCGACGCCATTGGTCTTCTCCGGTGATCGAAGCTTAGAGACTTCCTCCGCCACAAAGGGTCTGTCAATTTTTAGTCATGACGGTTTGGGTTCGGTTCGGTTCAGTTTGGTTAATATTGATTCAGCAGAGCTATAGCTGAATTTAAACCGAACTTTTGGTTAAAAAGTTCCAATTTTTTTATCGGTTTGAGCTGTAGCGACAGGTCTGGGTTTGCACATAAGTCCGCACGCAAGAAACGAAGACAAAAACAACATCTGGGCATCTTCTTCGTTATCTTCAACCTACCCTTTGTCTTACCTCGATCCTCTCTCTCTCTCTCTCCCCTCCATCGTCTTCTCCTCACAAACCAGAGGTATCCTTCTCTTTCTCTATTTCTTTCACTCAATCGAAATTTATTTATTTTCCTGGGGTTTTCACAATTTTATGTATTGTTTTCTTTAGTCGGTATATTGTGCGGTGGAGAGGTTCTCATTCTCTTCTTCTTATCCGTTGGGATTTTCATCTCTATTTTTGTCTGAGTCTACTTTTCCAATTGCAATTTTGGTTTTTCTTTTTTATGCTCGTTCAATTTCTTTAGTTTCAAATGTGTTTTGCTTAGTTCTCTTTTTGGGTCAAATACTCAAATATACTTACTGATTGCGAATCTTAGGTTTATTGGGTTACAATGAGCTCTCAGTTATAGAACATGGAACTTGTTGAAATTGGATTCCTTTGTCAGCTCGTTCATAGAGATGCATTGAAGGCGATGGCGTTATATTTCCCTATGCAACTTTAAAATTCTTGCAATTCATCTTAGCAATTGAATATGTTCCGCCACTTATAGCTGAGACGATTTATGGCATTTCTTTAATAGCGCCTTGTTGTCTCTGCTGGGAAGGTAGTCATGAAAGGCTTCAAAGACTGGGTTTTTGCTCTATCCAACTCAATGGCATCCTCTAGACCACTTTTGGGAAGTGACCCTTTTTTCCGTGACCGGCAAGAACAGGATAATCAGTGTATGATCTCTCTCCTCTTTCCTCATTCTCTTCTTTTTTTTTATTTTTGTCTCCTGAACGAGGAGTGATGCGGCTCATTACAATGAGAACAACATTATGAGATGGGTGTGGATCTGTTACCTCTTCTTGTGCTTTATGACCATATCCTCGTTATGCCAGTTGCAGTTTTTTCCTTCTAGTAGCAAAAAGGCATTTTCTGCGGTTTACTTATTCGGTCTGAAGTGCTTCAGTAGATTTTGTTGCTATGTCCACTGCTTTAAAATAATGATTTAGACTTTGCTTTCTGATACTTGATACAACTGCTGGCACTATTTATTTAGGTTGTATATTTAATCCTTCTCAAAAGTTTTGATTCCTGCTGGTTTTTCATGTTTTTTTTGACTAATAACTTTCACTTTTATTTTTAGCTCAAGAACCTGCTGTGCCAGAACCGGTGACACGCTCGGAAACTCCATGTTCAACCACTGCTGATGTAGAGACTCCGCCTCCTCTCTCTCAGCAACAAATTCCACTTGAAAGCCTGTACCAGTCAAGTATTGATCTTAACGGAAAGAAACATAATCCACTGGCAAAGATTGGTGACCTCCAAGTACAGTTCTTTCGCCTTGTTCAAAGGTTTGGGCAGTCACAGAATAATATTCTAGTATCCAAGGTTTTATATCGGGTACACCTTGCGATGCTGATACGAGCTGAGGAATCTGAACTGAAAACAGTAAAACTCAGGCAAGATAGGGCCAAAGCACTAGCGAGGGAGCAAGAATCGTCTGGCATACCGGAATTGGATTTCTCACTTCGAATTCTTGTCTTGGGGAAAACAGGTGTTGGCAAGAGTGCAACCATAAACTCCATTTTTGGTCAGCCCAAAAGTGAAACTGATGCTTTCAGACCGGCCACAGATCGCATAGAAGAGGTTATGGGAACTGTTAATGGAGTTAATGTAACCTTTATTGATACCCCTGGTTTTCACCCACTGTCATCTTCTAGCACAAGAAAAAACCGAAAGATTCTGCTCTCTATCAAGAGATACGTTAAGAAGCGTCCACCTGATGTAGTTCTTTACTTGGACCGCCTTGATATGATTGACATACGATACAGTGATTTCTCCCTCTTGCAGCTTATAACTGAAATCTTGGGTGCAGCTATATGGTTAAATACTATACTTGTAATGACACATTGTTCAACTCCTACTGAAGGACGTAATGGACAATCTATGAACTACGAGTCATATGTGGGCCAGCGCATGGATGTGGTTCAGCATTATATTCATCAGGCTGTATCTGATACAAAACTAGAAAACCCTGTGCTGTTAGTAGAGAATCATTTGAGCTGTAAAAAAAATCTTGCGGGTGAGTATGTTCTTCCAAATGGATTGGTATGGAAGCCTCAGTTTATGTTTTTGTGCGTTTGTACCAAAGTTCTTGGAGATGTCCAGTCTCTACTAAGGTTTCGTGACGGCAGTGGCCTGGGACAGCCAAGTAGTACCCGAACAGCTTCCCTTCCTCATCTACTTTCAATTTTTCTGCGCCGTCGCTTATCATCAGGTGTAGATGAAGCAGAGAAAGAGATAGACGAGCTTCTGAATTCAGACGTAGAGGAAGAAGATGAGTATGATCAGTTGCCTACAATCCGTATCCTTGGGAAATCCCGGTTTGAGAAGTTGTCAAAAACTCAGAAGAAAGATTATCTCGATGAGCTTGATTACAGAGAAACCCTTTATCTGAAGAAACAATTGAAGGAAGAATTCCGTAGACGACGGGATGAAAAGCTAACTGAAGAGGAAAATCCCAATGACACTGAACAGAACGACCAAGCAGCTGTTCCACTGCCTGACATGGCAGGTCCAGATAGTTTTGATTCGGATTTTCCGGCTCACAGATATCGATGCGTTGCAGCAGGTGATCAGTGGCTCGTGAGACCTGTATATGATCCACAAGGTTGGGATCGTGATGTGGGATTTGATGGAATAAATATTGAGACGGCTGCAAAAATAGAAAAGAAACTGTTTGCTTCAGCTACAGGACAGGTGAGCAGAGACAAGCATCATTTCACTATCCAATCAGAGACTAATGCAGGTTATACTCGAAGATCTGGAGAGCAGGCGTTCTCTGTAGCTGTTGACCTTCAATCATCAGGAGAAGATCTGGTGTACTCGTTTCAGGGCGGTACAAAGCTTCAAACATTTAAGCACAACACGACTGACCTCGGATTTGGTTTGACATCTTTTGGTGGGAAATACTATCTGGGAGGAAAGCTTGAGGATACCTTATTGGTTGGGAAGAGGGTGAAGTTAACTGTGAATGCAGGTCAGATGAGGGGTTCAGGGCAAACAGCACACGGTGGGAGCTTGGAAGCTTGTATCAGAGGGAGAGATTACCCGGTCAGAAATGAGCAAATCGGTTTGACAATGACGGCTCTGTCTTTCAACCAGGAGCTGGTGTTGAACTGGGGTTTACAGACTCAGCTTAGGCCAGCCCGGGGCACGAACATAGACGTCAATATAAACATGAACAATAGGAAAATGGGGAAGATACACGTAAAACTCAACAGCTCTGAGCACTGGGAGATTGCTTTGATATCAGCGTTAACGATGTTCAAGGCTTTACTACGGCGTAGGAAGAGTGAAATGACAAAGGAAAATGAAGAAGAAGAGTCGTGAGTTTTCTTCGTTTCCTGGTTTCTCTCTAAATTAGGTAAAGAAAGTATATTTTGGACACTTATGAAAAGATAACCGATGTAAGAGATGTAAGATAGAACATGCACATCTCCTTCAATTGTTATATGTTATACACTTGTCTTGTTGATAATTGATGTGCAAGAGTCTCGTTTGGTTTATGTCGTTGTTAGAACTTGGAACATATTTTGGCTCTCTAATATGATGCAAGACGATATTAGTCATTTGTTTATCAGAAGAAGTAGAGAGGCCTAGAGGATGGTAAAGAACTAAAGATAATGATGAATCACCACGAAACTAACAACATGTTTTAAAATTAAATTAGTAGTCAAAATAGCATAATTAAGAAAAATTGATCTTTATTTGACTTTCATTAATAAGAGTATAGATTTTTAATTTACATCTTTACGAAGTTTTATATTTTGTTCGTTTCGCTCGCTTGTTTTGTCACTTGTCCAGAAAAAAAAGGAAAGAAGAAAAAACTTGCACTAAATAATTGGGCATTTCAACTATGAAGGGCCCAAGTAATAAAAAATGGGCCAGATGATAATAGGCCTCAGAGGGATACTAGGGTTTATACACACTATATATTTAAGAGCTCATCTCTTCACTCAACACCGCGCAGCTAAACTTTGTTGGAGAAACCCTAATAGGCGACAATGGGTACGAACGATCTCTCTCTACTCTCTCAATTCGATTTCTCCGCTCCTTCGATCTTGTTTCTTAGTGATTGCTATTCTATTGAATGTATTGATGAAAGAGTCTGACGTATGAAACCTGATTTTACTTAGGTATTTCTCGTGACTCCATCCACAAGAGGCGTGCCACTGGAGGCAAGCAGAAGCAATGGAGGAAGAAGCGAAAGTGAGTCTTACATTTTATCATTTCTCAGATCCCTCTCGATTTATTTTCTGCTCCTCTCGTCTTATGTTAGTTTTCGAATCTCCATTTTTGTTAACGTTTAAGAGTTAGTCGATGTTGTCGATCTGTTAAATTCGAATGTTTTGCCTTTAGTATAATCAGAAACTGTAGTTTACTGGAATTATATATTTCGCAAGATCATAGTATGCGGTCCTTCATAAGCTGGTTGTGTTTTAACGTTGTCTGCTTTGTTTCTCACATTTCTGGTGTCACTGATTCATGATTAACAATCTTTGATTGGTGTTATACAACTGGTTTATAAAGTTTTTTTTTTATGTTTTGGTTTTGTGAAGGTACGAGATGGGAAGGCAGCCTGCCAACACCAAGCTCTCAAGTAACAAGACGGTCAGAAGAATCCGAGTTCGTGGTGGAAATGTTAAGTGGCGTGCGTTGAGACTTGATACTGGTAACTACGCTTGGGGAAGTGAAGCAGTT